AGAGTACATTTGCATGACTTATTTCCTAACTGATAGAACACAAACATACCTGTTGAGTCGACATCAACATCATTCGCAGAACTATCCTCACTTGCATACCCTGAATGTGCCAAAAACAAACAAAAAAAACTGTAAAAAAAAGTGACTGACATTAACAAATGATGAACACAGTTATAATAAAAACTAATGCACGTCACTCTAATAGTGAACTCTATGATTCCGTAATCAAAAAGTAACACCAGCTAATGCAGTTCTACATTTCGTTAGTGCTAATACTACTAAACATATTTTACTGGTCGAAACAAAAAACACTTTACAAAATATCAATAAACCAACCAGAAGAAGTTGAACCGGCTTCATCACCATTCGGTTTTGCTTCTACTGTAGCATCATCCTCTGAAGACTCTTCTTCGGTAGCTTCTGCTTCGGCTTCAAGCTCGGAGTCCGAAGAAGAAGAAGACGGATCCGAGGCATCTCTATCACCGTGGTCGAGTTTGAAGAACCTCCTCTTGATCATTTTTTTATTCTGTAAACAAACCTACTAAACCAATCAGCTCGTTCACACTGTAAAAACACTTCACCGATAACAAACGCAGGCAACAGTGCATAGATGAGTCAGTGAACGAAACTGCTACAGAGAGACAGAGCTTACACGTACTTGGCAGCGACGGCGACGGCGACAATGAGAAGAGGCGGAGAGAAACGCGTTGGCAAGTGGCGAAACCAAAGGCATAGGTCCGAAAGTTTGAAACCGGGTTTAATAGGAATAATGGGCCTTGAACTTGATATTCTTTGGGTCCTCGTATACTCCAAAGATCACATCTACTTTTCGCACTCCCTTTTTCTCCTTCTACAGCGTATCTTTTTATGTTTTTTTGACCGTTTGATCCCTATGGAATATAAAAAGTCATGATAAACAAGTTATTAGGGTCAAAGCTTTGATACCATGTAATCCTAGGAGAATAGAATAATTTTTCTACTTGTTGATTGATCAAAATCATAAGATAAATCCTAATTGCCTTAATTAATGATTACAAAATAAATAAGGGAGAAAATGAAATTAGATTTGAGTAATCTAATTTAGTTTAAGATTAACTCTAATTTAGATTACAAATCAAATGTGCAGAAATACATTATCGTGTTAGGATACATTGGTTAAGGAATAATCTAGTTTAAATTACTATGGTATACAAAATCGTGATTCCATATAATATTAAAAGGTTCAATAAAAATACACGTGATAATTACTGCTTAGTGAAAGAGTGGAGAAAAAGTATAATTAATATATTAAAGCTTTATATTTATGAAAAATATATACGAGTTTATTTGTATAAAAGTTATAAAATAAATTGGTTTTGTAATATGATTATGCGATTAATCGCAGTCGGTGGAGTTTGGCTTTACGTGAAACAGATAATTAGTGATCTGTGAAATAATAATCCGAAAGTGAGTTTTGGGATGAGCAATTAGACAAAGAATCCTGAAAATAAAGAAAAGAACCAGGTAAATAATTTATTATTAAGATTTTGTTACATTGAATGTCCATGTGATCAATTAAAATAATGTATGAGAATATTCAGAAAACTATTTTTTTTAATCTGACACGTTTTTTGTTTACCAAAAGGTATTTTATTCTCATTTATTATAAATGATTTAACAATTTCTTATAAATAATAATAGGTTAAAATTGTGATTTTGTTTGATTTAAGAGAGTTCATTGCAAAAAATTTCTTTTTTATTTTTTTTATCATACTTAATAAATTTACATTGTTTAAGAGTCGATATTTAAGTCATTTTAATTTTAATTTTCATTTTTTTAAGATGTTTTTTATATTTCCTAAAAAAAATCTGTTTGGAATGTTTTGAATGAAAAGTGATTGATTCTAATGTTACTTAGCCAGAGATTAGAATAAATTTATATTTACATTTCACTTAAACTAAAATTAAAATATATATATATATATATATATATATATATATATATATATATATATATATATATT